CTTAGTTGATGGCTTGCTCAGTTGTGTTCACTCTTTTTTATGGTGGCAGGGCATGGTGAGTCTCTGCTTTCATGTTCAGCCACTCCCCATCATTTTGATATTGCACCCTTGCCCCGATCCTGCCATTCAGGACACCTCAGCATGGGAGCTGCTCTTCCTAAGGAACTGTCTTTCTTAGTAGTCAACATCTAGCCTAAGGTGAGTGGAAGAGTCACTAAAAGAGATCACTCTTAAATTAAGAGCTCCTGTGCTGACTTCTGTTTTTTTTGTGGTGTTTTGTTTGTTTTTTAATCAGCTCCCCACTCTATCCAGGCCTACATTTGCCCTGAAGTACTCTGCTTGTCTCTGTCTGGTATTGGGCTACCAGTGCTGGTTTTCTGTCCTCTGTGGCAAGGGGGCTAAAGTGAACAAAGATTGGCCAGGGCAGTGAAGGTCAGAAAGGACACAGCTAGAAAACTAGCTACGTAATACTATGAAATACACGTATGTGAATACCTGCCAACTCCCATTAAGTCAAAAATCTTATTTCCTTCGTACTTATATCTCTTCTCTGCTTTCCTGTGATCTTTCGTGATTTCTTCACCTTTTTAATTCCCCAGGCTTGAAACTTCATTCATTTTCAGTGTCTTCTCCACACAGTGAGTTTGTAAGTAATCTTGGCAGTTCTTTTGCCATAGTGTTTCAGATTTGCTACTTTTTATTTCCATAGCCACATTCCTAATCCAAATTATTGCTCTCTGAAAAGCACACAGATCTTTCCAACCTTCAACTTTATGCTGTTTATAGTTAATAAATAATAGTAATCACTGTCAACACTGACAAAGCAAATATCAGGTACCTATTTCTAATGCTTTAAATCCATATCTATATATCCATATCCTACTAAGTGCAAAGACTGGGCTAGGTTCTCTTATGTAGAAAGTTTCAGGGAAGATGTATTTAGCATTTATTAAACACCTACTCTTTGCCAAGTATTATGCTAGGTAATTTAAATAGTCATTTATTGGCTGTGTGTGATAGCTTATGCCTGTAATCCCAGCGCTTTGGGAGCCCGAAGCAGGAGGATTGCTTGAGGCCAGGAATTTGAGACCAACTTGGGCAACATAGTGAGACCCCAGCTCTACAAAAAAATTTTAAAAATTAGCTGGGCGTGGTGGCACTCACCTGTAGTCCCAGCTACTTGGGAGGCTAAGGTAGGAGGATTGCTTGAGCCCAGGAGTTGGAGGCTATTATGAGCTATGATCATGTCACTGCACTCCAGCCTGGGCAATGCAGAAAGACCCCATCTCTTAAAAAACAGTCATTTATTCTTTACAATGCAATTCTTGGAAGTAGTTATTATCCTAATTTTACAGATTTAAAAACAGGCTTAGAATAAAGTTAAGGGACTTGACCAAAGTGGCAGAATTACAATTCTAACCAAGACTTTTCTAACTTAAAAACACATATGCTTTCTGCTAATGCATACAGCCTCCAAAAAATGTATCTAACATTCAGCATTCGTTGTGGTGGTGTTTAATAAGACTGTGTGTCATGCGCTGAGGATACTGTCTCATACCTTTCAGATGCAAGTCCTGCTCTCAGAGAACTTAATCTAGGAGAGATAAGACATATTTTAGTAATTCAAAGTAGACAAGTGCCTTGAGGTGAAAATCACAGTAAAGTGTTAGGGGACTTTACAGTAGGGAGAGTTTATTTTAAACTGAAGAGTTCAGGGGCTAGACATACTGGAAAATCTGCCATCTGAGCTGGGCTTTGACACATAGGTAGAGGTTGGGTGTGAGAACCAAGGTGTTTCTTTGAAGGAGTGGAAATAGCAGGAGCAAATGTACAGAGATGGAAAGTTAGGTGTGCGTGATTGTGAGCTTCTTGAGGGAACACTGGAAAGTACACTATTAAAAAACTCTTTGGTACTTATTTTTAAAAGACATGTAACATGAAAATGTTTCTCTCTCTTTTTTTTTCCAGTTTACAGTTGAGCATGAGTCTTCTTATGATTAGTGAGAATGTAAAATTGGCTCGTGAATATGCGTTGCTGGGAAACTATGACTCTGCTATGGTCTATTATCAGGGAGTTCTTGACCAAATGAACAAGTATCTATACTCAGTCAAAGATACATACCTCCAGCAGAAATGGCAACAGGTGAGAATCATGGCTGCTGTATGTTTTAATGGCTGAAGTACTCAGAAGATTTAGATAAATTGTCAGTGCTATATACAGTTACACATTAAGATTATATGATTTATTACATGGATTTTTATATAATGGAACTTTAAACTTTATTAGTAAAAGTCCACTTTCACCATTAGCACTATTATGAGTTCTACTTAATTATTCTAGTTGTTGGAATCTAATAGATTTTTTAAAAAGTAATGGTTTTGACAATTTTTTTAGATCACATTTTTACCTGGTAAAAATAGAGTTGACTTTATTTGGCCATTGTCAAAACTGCAAATGCATGTGAATGTCACTGGTACCATATTCCCTGTAGAGCTTTATAAAGCAAGTCATATTTGAATCCTATTTGAGGAATTTCAGTCACTGAGTACTAACACAAATTTACACAAAGTGAAAACTGTAGAACTTACAGGTCCAGTTGAGGGTGGCACTTATAGCAAGGTTCAACTATGTCACAACAGGAGAGAAATGTTAAGAAGTTAATAGTCTTTTTGAGCTGATCTTCTAGGTAGAATATTATCCCTCAGATCTACTGAACTGCTTTTTTAATATTGTTCCATATTTGTCCTTAATTTCTTTGAGAGAAACATCCTCTTTAACTTCTTTCCTAAATCTGCCCCTATATATCCATCACATTATCAGAAAGGCAAAATATTTTGTATCATAAGGAGTCTAAAGTTTTCACTGAAGGACTTTTTACACCTTTTGTTGTTAGGCCAGAGACTTTTACTTAAGTTGTCTAAGCTTTTGTGTAAAGATATTTAAATTTAAACATTTAAGTTGTAAAACAAAACATTATCAACTTCATTTCAATATTTCATATATAGTTTTTTACCAACTTTCTGTCTTAACCATTTTTAAATGTGCATTTCAGTGGTATTACATATATTTATAATGTTATGCAACCATCACCATATATAGTTTTTAAACCGAGTCAAGAACCAATATTATAATACAATTGAGTCAAAAACTGTATATAGTTTTAAAATTGAGTCAAGACTGCTTTTTAAAAAATACCTTGGTTGTATGTAAATTGAGACATTTATCCTTTGAAGCTATGTTTTTCAAACTAAGTTGTGATCCTTTAGTCAGTTATAAAATTTGTGGCTTCTGATCAC